CTAACGCATCCTAGTCCGGAAGCTTCACATTAGTCTACACATCCAGCGAAAAGCGACACTTTCGTAAGTACCAGTGAGCAAAGAAAACGAATTAATGCTTTAGAAGTTGCCAAGACGGACGATTTTGCGGAGATCAGTCAGTGCATGAAAGAGATCAGAACGAGTGTTCTGCCGGCTCTAAAACGCATTCGCCCAGTTAATGTTGACGCCTTTCTTTTAACTACTTTCTCGAATCGGGCAGATTTGGAGCTCAACGAAGGCCAAGGTAACTTACTGAAATCTCCTGCTTGCTAACCGCTCTACACAGTTCCAAAAAGCATGCAGCAACCAAACTTTTTTCGTAGTTTCAATTTCCCTCCCGAGGAGCGTCTAATCACCCGTAAGTTATACATCATTGTTATTAAGTTAATCTATCTGTGTGTCTCAGAGTGCTCCTGTGCGTACATAAAGGGAACACTACCCATCCGCGGGACTCTGTTTATCAGCATAAACTTTCTCTCATTCCTGCCCTCCGCTTACAACAATGAGGCCCAGTTGTCGCTGCCATGGATAAAGATAATCGTAACTCTATCTTGCTTCTTTTGCTTATCATCTCGCTGCTGTAGTCTATTGAGAGGAAACTCACGGCCGCGCTCGGCGGATATGTCCTACTACAAACTCTCAACCAAAAAGTAGGTCAGAACTTTTCGCCCCATGTTTCTTCTTTACAAGAAGCCTTTTCTATCGAACTCTTTTGAAAAAAAGTACGAGCACTAGAGTTTTTTCGACTACCGAGGGGTGGCCTCGCAAACGTGTTTGAAAATGCTTCCGAAGTATGGTGATGGTTGATTATAAATGAAGAATTTTTGCACAAAATTCAATTTAGAGTATATTTTTACATCGTTTCTCCCTTGCAGTATCGATTCACGATCTCGAGTAAGGTGGAAGAAACTACTTCTATCATCCAGAAACTCGCTGACCTGGGTGTTCGAAGGTAAGGTTCGCAAGTCCTATCCTAGCAAATCTTAGTTTCCTCAATCCTACATATTTAAAGTTTGCTTTTTGCTGTGGCCTTATGACAAATTGATAACTTCATTTTTTAAGGACTCTAGGATTATCTTTCTGGACGGATTAATAAACACATTCTAAGACCCACAAGTACCTTGCGAGCACTTAAGACATAGGCAACGATATTTTCCTCATTTTGGCAGTGTGACAGCAACTTCGTCGCAAGTTATTGAAAACTACCCACTTCTTCAAACTGGCTGTTAATAATTATGGAAGGTGTCTTTTGGTCAGCGAAGCAGCTCAAAACACTTTAAATTATGCAGCATTGATATAGATACCGACTGATTTGGCTACGCCCTTCAGTCTGTACATGGTCTAATGTCAGCAGGCCAGTGTCTATGGCGTGATCGAGGTTAGTGAACTGATTTCTTAGCACTGACTCCACATATTTTATACCGTAAACAGCTATTTGACGAATCGATCAAATCTCCTGGTTAAATAAGACGCAAACGTGCCTACCATAAGATCTAAAATGCGAAAGTTGGGAGGCATAGCTATACGTTAAAATTATTCCAGTGCCTTGGTCATGACAATGACTTTTCGTCCTTGCCTATGCCCATTATCCGCTACAGGAATTCACAATAGGCCAGATTTAACGGTCGTTGAGGAAAGTTCACCCGACCGCTAACGGAACTCAACTGACCAGCTTTCTCTTGGGCCTCGACAGAGGCCCTGACAGTCATAACAACTGAAAGTGGGCAGATAGTATTGCCGACAAGGACACTAATAGATGTTGCGAAAGGTTGCTTATCAAGTGAATAAGGAAACTATTCTGCGTTTACGACGAAAATGACTTGCATTCATGTCATTTTTCATAACTCGTTTACTTCTGGGGTGGTTTCATATGTAGCTTATGATTACCCGTCTGCTTAAACATTTTGTACCATT